CTAACTTTTGAGCTTAATTTTCAATCTTTCTAAAATTAATTTCACATGCTATTTTTTCATAATTTTACATGTAGAATTCATTTTCAAACTCAAAATTATCAAAATCAATCTCCTCCCTACTCAAACTAGTTTGGCCAAATTGCTTAAGGTTTAGGGTTCAAATTTTATTTTCAATCCCTATCCTTCCAAACTTGCTTTTTCACTTGTACCTTATACAATTTTCCATTATAAACTCATCAAAAACATCAAAATTATCAAAATCTAACCCTAAGGTACAAACCCTAGCTTGGCCGAAAATTATAAAGAGTTAGGGAAAGTTGATTTCAAATAATTTTCATTACAAGAATGCTTGATTCTTGCTTTATTCTAGCCTTTAATCTTTAATCTAACTTCCAACAATGCTTTTTCTTACTCTAAAAAGATTTGGACAGCACTTTCCAAGCTCAACAAGACAAAGGGTAAGGTAAACCATATCAATAACCATAGTCACACCTTATCCTGAAGCTTGGATTTGCCTTGGACTCATGCTCTTTCTCTTCTCCTTCTTTCCTTCATGAATTTGGCCTCCTCTCCCTTTTCTCTTGTGTTGACCGAAACTTTATACAAATAAGAGGAGGGGGGTATTTATAGAATGGTTTTGAAAATGCACCCAATGGTACCATTTACCATAACCCTAACACATGTCTTCCAATTAAGCCTCATCCCTTATGATTTTACCATGTAATTTGCTAGGTGTCTTGATCATATTTTCCCTCTTCAAAATGATGCCACATGCATGTCACCTAATCACACATATGATAAATATAATTTTTATTAAATAATTTCATTCTTCCAAACTTATCCCTTAACAAATTGTATTATTCCATCCATATCCTCCTCATCATTTTTGTATTAAAATAGGGAGGAAAATATGAAGAAATTCATGCTCCCTCTCTTCTTTGGATATTCCTCCACCTATTTTACAATTTTATATCATGTCGAGTACTTTTTTGGGTCTTAACTTACCTAGCAACACTGAAACATGTCCTAGCACCCTTTTCTTATCTCAAATAACTTAATATAACATGTATACAGAGGGAGGGATGCTCTTCCTTTTGTTCTTTTATTAAAACATCTGATAATATTTATTTTGAAGTAAATTTGAATGAATTCTTTCTACCAGTCCAAACTCCAAATATCTGTCTCTAGACACCAATAATGCCTTTTCATCACAAAATTTTTTTCTAATTTTTCTCAATTCAAAAGTCAATCTATAGATGGTTTATTTTGAGTTTCTTAGAATAGTATATAAATAGGCTTTAAATTATGTTAAAACCAACCTTTTCGCTTTCTGGGGACGAAACCATTTTTAAAACCTGTGATAATTTCTCAAGTACTTATTACCCATTTGTCTCCAATTATTCGAGGCCTTCTCATATTTGAAGTAATTTAATTTCATTTAATAGTCATAATCCGCCAAGACCCTAGGTATTTCATCAATTTGCTCTAAGGGTATTTTCATCATTTTTAACCTCATACAGTCTTAGACCTCATTTCTCTTTTTTTTTGAAAATTTTCTAGAATTTTTCTAAAATTTTTGAGAATACTGTCCATTATTATCATTTCCTGCGCGAAACTTTATAAAATTATAATTAGGTCCAAATTATCCTTTTGAGGCTTCTAGCATGACCTTTTACCAATATTCATTTATAAGTCCTTGAGACTTTATCAGTGTCTCTAACTTGCCTATCTCGTTCAGAAAACTCTTACTTCGCGATTTAGTCTTTGAGAATCTCTCGTCCTTCCAGGGAAGTTCAGAAACTCCTACAAAAAAAGAGCCTAATAGTTTACCCATTTCAAACTAATTCTAGTATTTCTATACCTAAAATTCAGATTGTTATAGTGTAACTAGAAGAGCTTTGAGGAGTTAATTTTGGCTTTTCAAAAGCTAAGCTTACAAGAGAAAGGAGACCATCGATTCCCTCCCTATATTTGAATAGAAGGGCAAGAAAAGAGGAAAGATTTACAATGACAGTAATACCCCTATTTAATTTTTAATCCTTTTTGTAGTAATGCTATGAAAAATAAATTTAAAGAAAAAATTAACACCATCAGATTAAAGATTAAAGTCAAATTAAATTGAAATTAAAAGTATTCTTATATTTTATTTTTAAATTAAAGTATTATGGAAAGTACTTTTCCACAAAAAATAAAATAAAATAAAAATAAACATGTTATAGCAACAATAATATATATTTTATCATATGCCTATCCTAAAGGCATTTTCTATATTTACACAGACTCGAACATGAGACTTCATGCTTAAAGGCCGAGCCTCTTTCAATAAGACCAACCTCTATTAGTATGATAATAGTATATTTATACCATGATTTATTAAAATCAAAATAAGTTTTTTTGGAAAAAAAACTTCTTACTTCATTTATAATTTATAATTATAATTTATTTGAGAATTTTATTAACATATAAAAAATCAAAATAACACCATCGAATTATGTCAAATTAAAATAAAATTATTTTTATATTTATTTATTAATTATTTACATTGAAATAAAATTATGTGTCTACAACATGTGTGTTCATCACATCAAATTAAGGTCAATTTACATTCATCGCGTCTGTGTGCGTAAGACCTGAGTGTGTGTAGTGGTATGTATTGAAAGAGGGGGCAACGGGCAAGGGTTGTAAATTGTATTTTCTCACCAAAATCTCTCCAATATTGAGGAAAAAATCTGGGGAGAAAAATACATGCAATCTACACCATTTTGTTTTTCTCCCATTTTTCTCTTCTTCCCATTTTCCCCTCTAATCTAAATAAGGGAATCTATTTTCTCCTCTCTTTTCTTTTCTGATTTTCTCTCAATCCTACCATGGCCTTAAGGTTGACTATCAAGTTTCTCAACTAAAATAAAAAGCATTGATTCTAGTGGGGAAAATTACAAATGTTTAAATACCACAGATCAGGTTTAAGAGAAATTCTTAGATAGCCCCAGAGTACCAACTCATCCCAACTTAGTCCAATAAAAATGCTCTGGCACAATTAATTTGAGTCCAACGTGTCAGCCAACCCACTTATATTAATTTGTTGTTTTAAAAAAATAAAAATACTTTTGTTTTTTAATTTCCTGTACTGCCCTCTCCCCTACGTCTCACTCCATGGCTTCATCTCTGGTCTCTTCGTTCCATCACCAAACTATCTCCCTTCATCCCTTCATCTCCCTATTTTCTACCTTGTCTCTCTTCTCTTCTCTTCTCTACTGAGACACAATCGAAGCTACAGCTCTTCTACAAGAAGCCTAATCATAGGTTTTGCCTCTTTCAGCTACGGTCTCTTTCGATGGAGAAGACAATGAATAGTATCGGCGGCCTCCTAAACGAAGTTAGATCAATCCACTCTCCTCTCCATTGGTCTATCTGCATCGCTCCTCAAACTCGTCTTCCCTCTAATCGTGTACTTGTCCTCCAGCTCAACTTTCCTCCTCTTTGGTTCTCGTCGCTATCTCGCATCCTCATTGGCTCCCTTGGCGACCAAAATGAGGACGATGAATTAAATGCTCAAACGATCCCCAGTGCTCCCAAGTAGCCTCCAAGCCAGTCGTACCTCATAGCTCCAGATTTAAAGGCATTCAGCTCCTCCCTTCCATCGGCGTTCTCTTTTTCTCGACGAAGGGAGGAGGGGGGAAGGGTTTGGAGACACGAGCGGGAGGCAGGGGAGGGGGACTGAGAAGAGGGAAGAGGGCACTAAGGGAAATTGGAAAACATAAGCATTTTTAATTTTTTTAAAAACAACAAACTAATATAAATGAATAGGCTGACATGTGGAGTGAAATGAATTGAGCTGGAGCATTTTTATTGCACAGGGTTGGGATGAATTGGTGTTCTGGGAGTACGTAAGTATTTCTCCAGGTTTAAATCCATATGAACATAGGAAAACAATTTTCAGAAAACTACTATCTTTTTTTCCAAATGCTCAAATCTAACTTGTTGTAATCATGAATATAAAATTTCCATTACACACACACACTTCTTTGATTTGTCTCAACTCCAAAAGGATGAACATGATTTCTTAGTACATGAAATTATTGTGTTATTTAATATGATTTGGCTCAAAATGAAACTTAGCATTAGATGAGGGGATGTCCTCTCTATTCATCATTCATTGTATATCAGCTCTTTTAAACTAGATATATCGGTCTAAAATTACTTTGAAAGTAGAAACTTTTCTTGTTTGGATTGGCTTATTAAATGCTTATGAGCGTATTTCATGTAAGTCAAAACAAAATTCCTGTCATATTTCATAAGTTATTGAAAAACTACTTATAAATTATTCTAAATGAGCTATTAGGCAACATTATTGTCAACAAGCAATTTCATCTACCCTAGAAACATGACTTATCTTCTAAATGTATCCTTTGGCAAGATATTTCTAAGATACAAGTCTTTTAAGGTTACTTAATCATCATTTCTGTTCTATTTCTTATTGGCCACTCTAACTTATCCTTTCGATGGGAACATCCTTTTTCAATTAAAAAAAAAAATGCACCAATGCATGATAATAATATATATTGTACACTATAAGTTGAATAGTTGAAAGAAAATTAGCATACATTCCCTTCGAGTTTTGCAACCTATATGACACATAAAATGAAACAACTTTTTTAAAATTTGAAGATTGTAAAAACGACAAGAGGATTATAAAATTACAAAGAATTAGGTGCCATTGCATAATTTCTACTCACTTTTTTTATTAAAAAAAAATTCCTCCTGCATATTTTTTTGATTTCTCAATCAAAATTCCAAAATAATAGAGTTTCACTCATAAATAAATATGGTTGCTTCTTGTTCGTTGACTTGTTAAAAGAACGGGGTAAAACAGCACTCCACTTAGTGTACAAAGCAATTTAAAAGAACGTTATTCTGGCAGCCAAACAATGTGAACATGATTCTGAGGTCATGGCCTGATGGTAATGAAGTGAACAACCCCCTGGACCTAGAACTATACTAGTGAGCATCAAGGGCATGGCAGGTTTGAAAAAAATGATTCCACCATCAAATCGCATTCTACAACATTACTTAAAAGTGATTAATTACAAATATTCAAGACAAAAGAAAGCCTGATAAATGAAAAGACCCATGATAATGAAAGTGGCTTGACAGGGCCTCGCATTGTGAAGAACTCAATGGACTTTCATCATCTGACCAAACTTAACCCAAATGTGACGCATTGGCTGCTTGGCCTGATACAAGAGAAGGCCAGAATTAATACCACCAGAAATCCCGCTCATCAGGTAAAAATTTGGGAAAATTGTAATTAGGTTCCATTTAAAGGAATTAAATACAAAAAAAATCCCTTAAAATCATTAGATTATTTTGACGTCCCAAGGGACCTCATTGCAATAAATTTTATTTGTTTAATTACCAAATTGACTTTTTTTTAAAAAAAAGTTTGCATTAACAACTGAAAAAACAATTGTTAACAACTTAAGATGTAAGGATTGAAAACTATCATGACAGGTATTGACAACATATTTTCTCAACACATCACAAAATATAATGTATGAGTTATCAATACCTGCTGCGATAGTTGTCAATCCTTGCACATTAAATTATCAACGGCTGTTCTTTCAATTATCAATGCAAACTTTTTAAACAAAAACTTTCAGGGCAATTTAGTAATTAAACAAATAAAATTTATTATAATAAGGTCCCTTGGGACTTCAGAATAATTTTATGATTTCAAGGGATCTTTTTATATTTAATTCTCTTAGGTGGAACCTAATTGCAAGTTTCCCTAAAAATTTTCCTGATACACAATTGAACTAGTAATGTCAAAAATGAACACGTTAAGTAATACTCCATCCGTTCCTTATTATAAGAGACAAATAACCAAATTACGTTGATAAAAAAAACAGTTAAAATTAGTTGATGACAATTAATGTGTAAAAAGTATAATGTTTTTTTTTTCAATAATGCCCCCATTAATAAGGAGAGAGAATATGAGAGAGAACAATTAAATTATTAAACGAAAGAGAAGTGGGAGGGAGAGAGAGTATGAGTTGGAGGCAAAATAAATAGGGGTAAAATAAGAAATTAATACAATAAAATAGAGACAACTTTTAAGTGTCTCTTATATATGGGAACATACATCAAATGTCTCTTATAATAAGGAACGGAGGGAGTAATAACTATCATCTTTCTTTTTCTCTTTTTCAAGACTTATTTCATTAGGTGGAGTTAGCTACATGACTTGCACAATACTCTTGTACTCTATCAACAATCAAATCTTTAAATAAATTATTAATACAAAATTTTTCCGGTGATCCATGTCATAGAAGATTCAACTTAGTTTTATGTTGGCTATCAAAAGCCTAATACAACCCTTTTCCTTTATTTGGATTTGGTATCGGCTACAAACATAGGAGTAGTTAATAATAACTATATCTGTCAGAAAATTTTGCACCCTACTTCTCCATCATCTAATGGAAATTTTTTTGTCATGCTTGTTACTTTCCTGCTCTAGTGTCAGATACAAGAGTATTAAGCAATAGAAACTATCATGTATCGTGATATTCTGGTATAACTCAACCCTGTTTTCCCGCTGTGGAGTTCATGTGATGCCAAACTTGAAGAAAAAGAGCTTCATGAAATTTGTTTCTTTTACTTAGCTTGGCATTATTTCCCTTTTTCCCTAACTTCATAAAATTGAAGTTGAGAAGAAAATAACACATGTAAGAATAATACAGTGCTCGGTATGATGGGATTGGTTCATCTAAAACTTCTGTCAACTAGTAAGACAGTGACCAAATCTCCCTTGTCACGCACCAATGTTTAGTAAGTTCACTAGGGAGCTAACAAGGCTGCATGACGATAATATAGTCTGTAGAGCAGCCATTTTGTAGAATAGATATAAAAGCATTGAGCAATAGAAACTATCATCTATCAATAATAATTTCAGATAACTAAGCCCTGTTTTCCCGCTATAAAGTTTATGCGATGACAGAATAAATTTAGGAAAGGCTTCATGAAATTCCTTCTTTTCAGTTTGCTCGGAATCATTTCCCTTTTCTCCTAATTTCACAGGAATCAAGTATACAAGTGCATATAAAAGAATAACAGACAGTGCTTGAGATGGGATTAGCTCACCTGCTGCGTTTTGTCTAGAGCAGGTGCGCAACACACCACATCAAAGAACCCACCCTTAGACACCAGACAAGGTAACAGAAGCATAAATGATAGATCTTTCAGTTCCTTTCAGATAATTCATTTGTTTTTAATAAGATAATAACTCTATTGATAGTCCAAAAACCCCTGCCGTGCCTTGAAGTGACAGGATGGTGGTGAATTCTCCATTGTATCGCTACTAATTTTTAGTAAGATAAATCACTAGGCAGTTAACGAGGCTCGGTGATGATATAGTTTGGACAGCAGCCAGTTTGTAGAATCAAAAATTGAGTAACTAACCAGCCCTGCGTCTATTCTCTGTAGCATTTCAAAAAGTAGTTCACAGCATATTATACTAAATGGTTTTTCTTGGTAAGCATCATAGTATGATTTTGTTTTTCGAAATAATTCTTACTTTTTCACGCTAGACTTTCGGTAATCCATTGGAAGAACGAATTCAATGACAATCACTTGTGTTTCCATCAGTCCTGGAGCCAATTCACATGCCATTCAACATACATAAATTATAGATTGTAACACGCACAGACACGCAGAGGAACTAAATCAGAGAACTACTGCTTATCGTTAACATGTAAATACCTAACTTATTCCATTGTTACTTTTGCGCCAGCCTCCTTCATCTTGGCAATAATCGTCTCTGCTTCCTCTTTCCTTACACCTTTCTTCAAAAGGGTTGGCACTTTCTCTACCAAATCCTTTGCCTCCTTCAAACCCAAACTGGTAAACGTCCTCACTTCTTTGATCACCTTGATCTTCGCGGCAGCATCAAATGCTTCAAGCTTCACATCAAACGTCGTCTTTTCAGCCTTCTCTTCTCCTCCTCCTTTTGGACCACCACCCTTGGCCATACCCTTCAGGCCACCGGCGACTCCCATTCCCGGCATCATCACCATCATGAGTGGGAGCTCATTGACGCCCCTTTTCTCCCTCATAACTTCAACAAGGTCCATTACTTCAAGTAACGTGAGTCCCATGAGGTCATCCACGATGGCTGAGACCTTCTCAGACTGAACAGGTTTTGAATCTTGTGAAGGAGTAGTGTAATAGCGCGGGAAACCAGAAACATATCGGATTTTCGATTGGCGATCCGGAAAGTTATTGTCTGTTGAAATTGATGAAGCATTGAAGCTGGGATTTTGACCCAAAGATTTGCGAAGATGAGAAAACCGCATGAATCGCAAAAGCCTCATGTTTTGGAGAATTTGCCTACGATACCTGAAATCTCGTAGAGTAAATTCATCAAATTGACACTAGACTGAGCATTGTCAGCGAACAGAAAATGGGTGCCCGAGACGCTCGATCGAGCTTAAACCCTACAGGAGTGAAGACTGCGAAATGAAAACGGAGATTAGGTTTGCGGTCTAACCGCACTAAACGCACAGCATCATGGAAAATGGGTTAAAAAGAGGAGAAATTGGGGGGGGGGGGGGGGAATTCCATTAAAAATTTTCTCCCCACAAAGCACAACTACTCAAATTTTAAATAAAATGCTTGTCTCCAATTTCCCTTAAAAAGTGTAGATTATTTTCAAACTGTTGTTTAAGATTGCCTAAAATCCAACCTTACCAAAATCAAAAGGAAAATTTGTTGACAAAACCTATTTAAGAAATGTATTAATTTAAAAAACTTAAATTTGAGCCGGTACAACAGTTACCAGTGAGTGTATAACCAGTTTTCATCTATATGCAATATGTTTTTTGTTATGTGTAGATGATTTTCATTTTGAAAATTGTTCACATTGATAAAAATAATTTGCATATAGTTAAAGGAAAATTACACTATTAAAAATGAGTTGCACAGATCCATTTAGCTAAAATATTGTTCAAATAAGGACTTCTCATCAAATTTTCCAAATAAAAACGTCATTGGAAAAATTTATATGGTCAAACGAGTAGACTGGTTTTAATTTGATTTTGATTCAGTTTTGCTCCTCTATTTTCACTTTTTTTTTAAAGATTATGCATTCGTATATAAACAAACAGCATAGTGAAATCTTATTACAAGGTTAATTAATTTGATATGTGCAAATGTTGACAATATACAAATTCTTTAATATGGCTTGAAGTTAGTTTTATATCAAAATTTCCTTTTCGTTTGCCCCTTTCTTATTTTTCTTTCCCCACTCTTTCTTCTTCCAATTTGTTTGGCTAGTCTTAAGCGTGTTAGAATAAATCCTGTATACTTTTAATTCAACATTTTAATCAGCAAGAGGTGGTAGCATAGTTGGCTAGTGCGTAGGTCTCGTAGCTTTGCTGAGTTGTCTTGAGATCGAGAGTTTGAGCCTCTCTCACCCCAATCCATTTGAGTTTTCCCCATCATCATTATTATTATTATGTTGGGTTCTTTTTGTCGCACTTCTGTAGGGTTATTAGTTGCTCAACTTAAGCAGCAAATTAATAAAATGTCATATAAACCACGTTCATCTTCACAGGGTATTGAAACTTCACAGCAGAATTACTCAAACTCTCTCACCCCAATCCATTCATGTTTCCCCATCATCATCATCATCATTTTGGGTTCTTTCTGTCGTATTTTCTGTAGGGTTATTAGTTGCTTAACTTAAGCAGCAAATTAATAAAATGTCATATAAATGAGGTTAATCTTCACAAGGTATTGAAACTTCATAGCAGAATTACTGATCAAGAGAGGGGAAAAATAAATCAAAACTAGTTTGCTATACCATTAGAGAGTTTTTGTGACGGGAAAGGGGAAGTGGATAGAGGTAGTAAATGTGAGTCAAGCACTACTAGAGAAAAAACATTTAACGTCGCAAAATAATGGCGGTTAAGAAGAAAAATGTTGTAGAAAAAAAGGCGGTGGCAATTTTGTAAATAAATGGAATAACTCTTGATTTTCCACGGCAGTTATCTGGAAAACCACCGTGAAAAGTTCCAACTTAAACCCTACGGTGCGTTCTGGTTCTCTCATTTTCACAGTCTTGACTTAGTGCGTCGTGGTCCCCCTCTGTCCCACCACCAAAAAACTTCTATTACTGGCCATTCCCTCACTGTCCCGCCGTTTAAACTCCTCCATTTTGCTTGTGGGGTCTTGCCGCCGCCCGCCGCCCGCCGTCGCCGCCACCGTGGAGTCGCCCCTCTTTTCGCATTGAATCATCTCTACTCTGTGAGTATCCTCTTCTTTCATTCTCTTCAATTTTTTTCGGTTTCCTGGATGTTTTGGCCGTTAAAATCCGTTGTATTTCAAATGGGTTTGTTAGTTTTACATTGTGGTTGACTTACATTGTCGATTTTGTGTTTTTACTTGGTTGAGTTGTTGATTGGGGACATTGGATGTGAGAAAACCTCAATTCCTTCTTATGTACGGTATTAGAAACATGTTTAAAATTTTGAAGTTGATTAAATTTGAATTTTTTGATATTTTAATAATTTTTTGATATTTATTTCGAATTTTTGGTAAATTTTTTGAAATAAATTTTATAATTTAGTAATAAATAATCTGTTAATTGTTTTGTGATTTTTTTTCCGTTATGAACTTGGTTGATGATAAAGTATTGTTTAAAATTTCATTATAAATGGATATTGTTTGTGTTCCCGTTTTGTATTTAGAAATTTTAGCTTTAAGAATCTTTATTCATTGAATTGGTTTGAAATTGAATTTTTATTTTTTTAATTTATAATATTTCTTCAAATTTATCCTATTTTTAATTTTGTTACATTGTTATATTAGTTTGATTGATTGATTTGTTTAATTTTGTATACAAATTTAGGATTTGTTATAGGAAAAATTAGATTGAAAAATTATACGAATTTTTTATTTTTAAAAGGGAGACATTCCCTTTAATTTGTAATTAAATGTTAGTCAATTTTAATTTATTAACTAACATTTAATTATTTTATTATTTCAATATTTGAATTGAGGAGTTACATTGAGCTTGACAACTATGTTCATTGACTCTGTAGAACAATGGATCGTAGTTGGATGAAAGCTAAGAGAATTAGCAAAGAATATGAGGATGGGGTTGAAAGGTTTCTTCAGTTTGCTTAGAGAAATGCCCCTAATCAAAGAGATGAATTATACTATTGTCCTTGTGTCAAATGCCTAAACAATAGTCGGAGGAGTATTTCTAAGATAAAAGAGCATCTTATCTGTGATGGGATAAATTTGAGGTATACAAATTGGATATGGCATGAAGAAATTAGAAAGACTACACTATCTGGAAAGGAGAAGGTTGTGAATGAAGACTTTGGTGATAGAATTTCGGATATGTTTCATGACATAAGGTCTAAATCTTCTACACAGTTCTCTTCTACTTTCGAAACTTTGTATAGTGATGCAGAAACGCCTTTGTACCCAGGGTGTAAAGATGATTACACAAGGTTGACAACCGTGTTGAAATTGATGAACTTGAAGGCAAAAAATGGTTGGACCGATGCTAGTTTCACGGAATTACTTGAGCTGCTGAGTGATATTCTTCCAAAGGGGAATTCACTTCCGAAACGAATGTATGAGGCAAAAAAGATTTTGTGTCCGATGGGTTTGGAATATGGGAAGATACATGTATGCCCTAATGACTGTATATTATTCAGAAATGAGTATGAAGGGTTGAATAAGTGCCCTAAATGTGAGACTTCAAGATACAAGGTTAAGAAAGATGGTGGTGATTATAATGAGATGACCAAAGGTTCTTCTTTGAAGGTTCTGTGGTATCTTCCAATAATACCACGATTTAAGCGTCTATTTGCTAATGCCACAGAAGCAAAGAACTTGAGATGGCATTTCGATGAGAAAATATGTGATGGAAAGCTTCGTCACCCAGCAGATTCTCCTCAATGGAAAACAATAGATCAAAAATTTCCTCAATTCGGTAGCGAGCCAAGAAACCTTCGGCTAGGTCTTTGTACGGACGGAATTAATCCATATGGTAATCTTAGTAGCACACACAGTGCTTGGCCGGTGCTTCTCGTAATTTACAATTTGCCTCCTTGGTTATGTATGAAAAGAAAATATATCATGCTATCTTTGATGATCTCGGGGCTAAAACAGCCGGGAAATGATATTGATGTGTATTTGACACCTTTGATTGAGGATCTGAAAAAATTATGGGTGGAAGGTGTTGATGTGTTTGATGCATATAAACAAGAGACCTTCAATTTATGTGCTATGATCTTTACCACGATAAATGACTTTCCATCATATGGAAATTTGTCAGGATACAGTGTTAAGGGGCATAAAGCATGCCCATATGTGAAGAAGGCACCCACTATATGCAACTTAAACATGGCAGGAAGACGGTATACCTTGGTCACAGAAGGTTTCTTAGTCAGTATCACCCTTACCGTATATTGAAAAAGGCATTTAATGGCTCACAAGAATATGAATGGCTCCAAGACCATTAACTAGAGAAGAAGTTTATCAGTGGGTGGAGGGAATTAATGTGGTCTTTGGTAAGAAGAAGAAGAAGACTGCCGGTGAGAGGAATATATGGAAAAAAAGATCTATCTTTTTTGATCTTCCATATTGGCATAGTCTTGATGTGAGGCATAGTCTAGATGTGATGCATGTGGAGAAGAATGTGTGTGAGAGTCTTGTTGGTATACTTTTACATATAAGTGGAAAGACTAAGGATGGAATCAATGCAAACGTGACTTAGCCGAAATTGGAATAAGAAAACTCCTCCACCACAAGAAAGAGAGGGTAAAAGGGCTTATTTACATCCAGCTGTGCACACATTATCAAAAGCAGAGAAAACAAGTTTCTGTGGTTTTATTAATAACCTTAAGGTGCCACAAGGTTATTCTTCTAATTTGAACAAACTTGTTTCAATGCATGATTTGAAGATAACGGGATGAAGTCTCATGATTGTCACGTGTTGATGCAACAATTACTTCCACTTGCTATTCGAGGCATTATGAAAACCGATGTGAGAAGTACTATTACAAGACTTTGTATGTTTTTTAGCGCTATTTGTAGCAAAGTCATTGATCCTGCTGAGTTAGATGAATTAGAAAATGAAGGTTATGTGATCCTCTCCCAATTGGAAATGCACTTTCCTCCCTCATTTTTTGATATTATGGTCCATTTGATAGCTCACCTTGTACAGAGATAAGACTTTGCGGCCCTGTGTGTTTAAGGTGGATGTACCCATTTGAGAGATACATGAAAATTCTAAAAAGGTACTCTAAGAATCCTTATCGGCTTGAGGCATCAATTGTTGAGAGATATATAGCTGAAGAAGTAGTTGAGTTCTGCAATGCATATCTTGATAAGGTAAAGACAGTTGGACTTCCTCAATCTCGGCATGATCAGGAGAAGCAAGGGAACACGGGGTGTCATAGTGAGGTCTATGTCAAGAGATGTTGTAA